GCACACTCTCTCTCACACACACACACACACACACACACACACACACACACACACACACACACTCACACACACATTCTCTCACACACTCACACTCGTACAGCGTATAAACACACATCTGTGTGTGTGCAGGTGTGTGAGTATCCAGACGGCACCAAGTCTCTGAAGCTGGGTGATTTTGGGCTGGCGACGGTGGTGGAGGGACCGCTGTACACCGTCTGTGGGACGCCAACTTACGTCGCACCAGAGATCATCGCAGAGAGCGGGTAAAACTCCACTTCTAAAGCTCTAAATGATCAATCTTTTCTGTCCCACTCGATCGCCTCGTGTCTTCTGTCTCTGATTGAGAGTTTAGAGTGTTTTATCCAGTAAAAGCTCTTTTAGTGTAAATGTACAAACGCCCAGCTTCAGCTGGAGCTTCTCGTGTCAAATCTTGACTGGTTTTGATCAAGTAAGCGTCAGAAGCAATCCCAGTATGAGTAGTGTGTGACAGTGTTGTGTGTTTTCTGCAGGGCGGTGATCTGTTTGATGCCATCACTTCCTCCACGAAGTACACAGAGCGAGATGCCAGCGCCATGCTGTTCAACCTGACCGGAGCACTGCGATACCTGCACAGAATGAACAGACATATTACTGAAGATATAGAGCGACCACTGATATTTAGATCATTTTATGTCAGTATCTGCTCTACTGTTATAAAGATCTCATTGATTTACATTACAAGCAGCAGAATTTCATCATTTAACATCATCAAATATCATCTGTAGCAAATTCATATTTTTGATCAGTTTGAGTCTGAATAAAATTAATATTTTCTTTCTCCATATTCTCACTAGATCAGACAATATGAGTCATAAAAGCCTGGATTATCAAAAATGTACACAAACGTTTTCTATCTATTTTGTCTAAAGGCTCAATAAACTGTCTTATGGCAGGCTTTACAGAATGAAGCAGTTCATAAAAATTATTCAGTGATTCTTATGAGTCTTTACTTAATAGTTGTGTTTAGTGTAAATGTATTTAGTTTAATTACATTTTAATACCATCACCCTGAGGTAATTTTTCTGTTAATGTGGTCAGAAAAATGTATCAAGATTTAAAAAATGCTTAGATATTTGTACTGTACTGCAAAAAAGGACAAAAATACTGAGGAAGAATACTATTTTTGCAGTGCATTCCTTCAGTTATTTTATCACTGATATACTACTATAGTATCAATTAGTAGTATCAATTTAGTTGGTTTTAGTAATGTGTTTGTCATTTTCATTCGTTTTTTGAAAGGTCTATATAGTTTCTGATCATTTTTATTTCAGTTTATTATTTTAGAACAAAAATAAAATGAGAAACGTTGCTCTGACAACTAGTTGAAATAAAACAAGTTTAAATGTTAACAGAAATAAAATAAACTACTTTATTTCAAGTAACATTTTTAGGGTTTTGGCTAACTCTAATAACCCTGTTTTGTACAAAACAAATATTGAAGTGAATTATATGGTCTGATTTGATTGTGTGCTGCAGGTACGGACTGAAGGTGGACATCTGGGCTGCGGGTGTGATCACATACATCTTGCTGTGTGGTTTTCCTCCGTTCCGCAGCGAGAAGAACCAGCAGGAGGAGCTGTTCGAGCAGATCTTACTGGGCAGACTGGAGTTTCCCTCGCCGTACTGGGACAACATCAGCCTCTCTGCTAAAGTGAGCGAACAGCGACCACACAAACGCAGAATAAACGCTCACGCAGCACACACTTTCACTTTTTACTTTCAAGTTATGAATTGTTGAACCACGGGATATTGTGACTTTTTTCTTGCAGCATAAACTTGCAATTCTGAGAAGTCCAAATCGTGCAATTACCTCGACTACTTTTTGTATTTTATTTTAAGGCAGAAACAAACAAACAAAAAAAAAAGTCAGAATTGAGAGATGTGAACTTGATTTTAACTTGCAATTCTGAGAAAAAAGGTCACAATTACTTGTTTTGTTCTTTTATTCCGTGGCGAAAGCAAGCTTCCATAAGAATCTGATGTTTGTCTTTTGCAGGATTTAATTGGTAAGATGCTGCAGGTGAGTGTTGGTGCTCGTTACACGGCTGACGAGGTGCTGGAACACCCGTGGGTGCAGGTGAGGAGATACACACACTCACACTCACACACACACAAACACAAACACAAACACAAACACAAACACAAACACA